AGAATCAGGGTGTACACACACACAAAAGCACAAACAAGCTGGACGGTTCCTTCAAATCAAACAACGTTCCTCTGGTCTCCGTATTGCTCAACAAGTGGCACTGTCTTGATTCCTAAGCACGTAACTGGAGCTCCTGCCGCCCCTGAAGCAGCCGTGGAAACGGAGACCTCAACTATGTTAGAAGGATGCGTTGCCTTCTTCACTTCCTCCTCAGCAAAGAAGATCTTGACCGGAATTGCGCGCTCCGTGCAGCCTTAGCTTGAGGGTTCTGAGGTTCTTTGGGCCTCAGACGTCCAGAGTTGTTGGTCGAGATGTCGGGGAGTCAGCATAGTGCTAATGTGGACAACTTGATTCTGCTTGCATGAAGCATTCGACTTGTGAACCAATGTGTTTTTGGCGGCTTGCAAGCTGTGGTTCTTGCAGGCGTTGGACAGATTGGTTGGGCTTTGGTACTTGCGCTTCATCGGGTTCTACGTCTTCAGGGTTCCGAGGCTGCTTGCCCAAACCCCGAGATGTAGCAAAGTCAAGTGGTGGGACATGTAGCACGCTTTCAGTGCTCGGCCCTACAGCTTATCGATTACTATGAAGTGCCAACGCCCACCCCGCGTAGGCAGCCGCGAGCTGAAAAGTTTGTGTCGAGGTCTCTGCACTGCTACACGGCGAATCTGCGCTATCCAGCTAGGTAGGGTCAGGTAGGGCCGCAGTCAAGCTTGAACTGAGGTCCTGAGGCTACAGCTGGCATTCACGGGCTTGTTTGCAATGAGCATGTGAGCGCTGATGCCCTCTGCCTGTAGAGCCAGGAAAGGAGCTAGTCTAAAGACTATATAAGTAAGGGCTCGAGATAGATAGCCTGTGTGGAAGTCAGCAGCAGCAAAAATATGAGCGCCTGATGGTGAACCAACTGTCCGTGTCACAGAATCCTGTGAGCTGGAATCCGGGATATGTCACGGTCAGAAATCAGCGTGGAATGCGGATCAAAGTTTGAGATCTCAGAGCTTCTCCTACATCTGCAAGAAAAGAGTCTATGACGTACGGAGTGCGTAATTTCTGGATGTCGGCAAAATGATCCACCTGACATGTAGGACGCTGTGTGTTCAACTGTACCAGCCTTCTGGTCTTCTCCTGCCCCCACCCCTGGGTGAAGCAAACACCATTGCACATGCGAGCCAGAGAATAAAGGTGAGGGGTATTGCAGGAAGCCTGAACCAAGAGAAAGCTTGTAAATTTCGCATGCCTAGTTCAGCCGACACGATGGAAGAAACGGGTTAAAGACTGTGCCTCCGAATGTGCAGCTTGCGAATCTGTTGCAAGGAGAGTGATACCATCAACGCGTAACAACACAGACCGACCCTGAACCCCCAACGTGCAGTGAGAAAAGAAAGGACTTGAGTGCCTGGAGCATGGAAGGCATGCCGAGGAAGTCGGCCAGCCGGCGAACGGTCGTTGCCTGTCGGATGGATCGAAGGGTCGCGACAGAGACATAAGTTCCCGTGATGTAGTGCTAGTATGTGCTAGTCGGAGCGTGTACAGAAACTGCATCATCAATGTAGGCTGGCTAGTCCGAGTCCTGACTTGCATCACCAAGTTTCATCTCAGGTCACTCATGGCCTGCACGGACTTGTAGGATCCGGCTTGCTCCACAGACTTGCTCATGGTCTTGTTCTCAGAGAAGAAATGGATCACCTGTGTGCCAGCTTGTGAAATCACAAGACGTCAGGGTCGGTGAGTCAAGGCAAGACCCTACAAACAGTCTAAACTAGTGACTGTGGCACTACACGAAACCACCAGCGCCAGTCTCCAGCTATGCGTACAGCCTACACTTTCTACTGTCGGACCTTGACTTGTAGGACTCAAAAGCGCCCACCACAGGCATCGTTTGCTGTCGGAGTTGTCTGGCCTCGTCGTTGGTCATCGTGCTGCCTGGGCAACCAGTAGGAAGAAACAACAACTCCAAATCCAAATGAAACCGGCGTGCCTGAACGCCTCTTCAAACAACTAAGCAATCACAACTTCTGGAACAAGCAACGGTACCAGCACCGGCAACGCCAGCAGCAGTAGCAAAGGCGCCAGGGCCAGCACCCAGCATCCGGCAGCAGCGCCGACACCGCATCATCACCAGCGCCAGCGCACCAGCGCCACCACCAACAACAAAGACAGTGCAGCAGCAACAACAGCAGCAACAACAACAACTACCACTACTACCAACCAACTACCAGCAACCAACAATCAACAACAACCACGACAAAAAAAAACAAACAGATGAATAGTAACAAGGGGACGAAGTAGAGTAACAACAATAAGCACAAGAATACCAACACAAAAAAACATCACACTAACCAGAAAGCGTCAATTTTCAACATCGGAATGGTATAACGAATTGAATAAGAAGAACGTTCATGATCAATACAACAATGACGATAACAAAGCAGCTAGTAAGAATACACTCACTAGCAACATCAACTAGTGACTAGCACTTGCGTCGGCGACGACGACGGATCAAACAACACGCCAACAGCGCCAACACCAACGGTACCACCGACTCAACCGACACCACCACCAACCACCCACCAACCACCACCAATGCCGCAGCCGCCACGACCACGACCACGACCTCGACCACCACCACCACCACCACAATAACAACCACAACAACAACAACAACAACAAACCACCACCACCACCGCCGCCGCCGCCACCACCACCACCACCAACAACAACAACAAAGACAACAAAGACAGCAACAACGACAACGCCGACAGCAAAAACACTAATCGACTCCAAAAGCTACAACCACAACCACGACGGCATAGATCAACAGCCTTATGTCTCATCACGAGCATCACGCCACTGCCACGAATGACAACAACAAAGACATCAAGCAGAACAATTTCATCTTAGCGCGTGCCCACCGCCACCTCCAGGTCCACGACCGCAACAAGCGCCAACTGAACATCAACGCAGCCCCACCACTATAAACTACCAACCAAGACCACTCTGAATGAAGCAGCAGCACAACCATGCTCGCCACTATGACTATGATTGGCAACATCTCTGTCACCACCTTCCGCAGCCAGCATGAACAACAACCTTGCCGTCATCCTCAGTTTCATCGCATCACAACAACCTTCATCGTCATCACATTGCAGAAGAGGCCAGTATTGCAAGACCTTGACCAAGATGTTCTTGTGAGTCGTTGGGCTTTAAGGCTGGTGAAACCAGACCAGTCACTCAGCACAGCCAACAATCGAAACACCTCGAAGCATGACAGGTTTAGCAGTTGGTAGGTAACATGCATCATAGATTTCAGGCATTGTATGACGAGGAACATTTCCCACGCGATGTTCTTCATCACATTTTGTTACATAGCCTTGAAAAGACCGCTTGCCAAGGTACCTCTTGACTCGATGACGTCCAACCAGCGATTGGCCATAGCGCCGACGATCTTCCAGACCTACGACGCATCTAGACGCAGTTGCGAAGAGTTTATACCATCGCTCGGCTTGAGACTGCCAGTCTTCAGTGTCTTGAAGTTGACAGCGGTATGTCGCGCTTGCCCAACACGAAATGCCATGAAATTGTTACTCGTGCTTGTGCTCATGCCCAGGAGCTGAAAAGAGTGGCACAGCTTCTTCAAGCACCCCATCTACAAAAAACTTTGCTAACTCTAGCAAGTGCACATGATGAGATCCCCTGGAGTCAAGTTACTGACTTCATGTGTATGCTTTTCAAGAGTCACTGCGCTGAACTTGGAAGCGGACACTTTTAGACCAGATTGACACTGAGATTCCTGCAAGTTGTTGCTGTTCATTTTTCTTGCTGCATGTGCTTCCACTACGGTTATCAGATTATCAGGTTGTCGTTGCTACTAGTTACTAGTTGTGAGCAATGACTGTTGCTAATGCATGCTGATGCTCTCTGGCAAACGAACCTCCTCCTTGCTCTCCCCCTTCAAGAACTCCGGGAAGACCTCGGTCTGGAAGACCTCGTCTCGTGTCTGCGTCTGACCAAAACCCGTGAACTGCCAGCGCCAAGGAAAGCAAAGACTCAGCCGAGGCAAGGAGGACAGGTCTGAAGTCAAAGCCGGCAATGCATGCTGCAAGCGTTAATGTTGTGCCTGGATCAACCGAAGCTCACCACGGCGCTTTACCTCGAGCAAGCTTCGAAGCTGATGGAACTTAGGTTTACGTTTGGTGTTGGAGGAATCTTGTGTAGTGTTGTACAAGAGCTAGTGACTCAGACAGTAGCGCAGAATCACCAAGCCATCAGTTCATGCCTAACTGTTTGAAGTACATAGCCAGCGGCATGGCACGCAGAACTATGTCGTTGGTGTCGTTGCCGCACAATGTATCTACATATACATGTGGAATCATGTGGAGATTTGCGCGCACACATGTCAAGTTGGCATATTTGCTGTTGCTCCTGCTGTCGCCATTGCCGGTTCTGCTGCTAGTGTGATAAGCACAAACCAACATGCTTCTCAGCATCGGCATGTTTTGCAACGCAGCTACCAGTCTGACGATGGCGATGATGATGATGCTGCTAATGATGATAAGGAGAATAGTAATAGGGATATTCACCATCAGCAGCAACCCGAGCACTGTCACGATGACAATGATTACAACCATCTCGAATCAGCATGCCACAGCGGTGGAGAAGCTCTAGCTGAAGCGGCGAGGCTAACTTCAGCGAGCGTGGAGGCTGGTTGGGAGTAGCACGAAATAGAGATTGCGGAGAACCACAGCCCTTGGAGTGCAAAACTATGTCATCCCCCAACCGGCCTCGAATCCCTTCAGCTCAGCGAGGGACCTGGCAGCGAGTCGACATGTAATGACTGTCAGGAGCTTCAAACTTTTTTCCGGCTTTGGTGGGTTGCGCTTTGAAGTCTTAGCAGTCCGCTTTTCCTAATAGACCGTTCAGTAGCACGTGACCGCTATGAAGTGCATCAGCTCAGTTTCTGCTTTCCAAATACATTTGCGACGACTTCACGTAACGTGCGATGATGATGATGATGATGTTGATGGTGGTGGAGGGATGGTGCGGCTGATGCAAATGTTAACGCAGCAGATGCTCGCGATGGTGACTTCGAAGATGGTGCTGGTGACGAACATGACCATGATGATGCTCATAGGCATGGCCGTTGCCAAAGCATCATCGCCATCAGCACCGTCGCCGTGGTCAATGTCATCATGGTCATAATGATCATTGTACAATCCCTCTCCATCATCATCATCATCTTCATCATCGTCGTCATTGTCATCATCCTCGCCATCGTCATCGTCATCATTATCATCATCTTCATCATTATGACCACAAGGTTTGTCTAGGTTTGGTCACTCCACCAGGGAGTCGAGACGACTAAGCCGCGAAGTTTCGGAGACGGACTTGGTTAGGGTATGCCAAAGTCCTCTTCTTTCTGCGATGTGCTGAACAACTACGAAGTCTGCATGTTTTCTATGCAAAAACTTGGGCGAGTGAAGTCTAGTTCAGGTAAACACCGGATTCCGGGCCCGTCGAAGTTGTAGACGGCATAGCGCTTCTTGAGCATCTTATCCTCCTGGAGAGTTACGGACAGCTGCAATGCCGCTCTACTTCGGTGAGAGCTGTCATGGACACTCCGCTTGACAGACCACGGCTTGCGTGTGACAGTACCTGCACATCACGGGGGATGCTAGACTGTTCTTCCTGTCACATGCTTCCTGCCAGAGATTAATGATTAATACATGGGCTCGTCTTGATTTCTTCGCTGCCTACGCAGTCTCCCATCGCGATACTCCCCAATCTGGGGGTGTTGCCTCTTAGCATTTCGACATTGGTGAACATCCCGCTCGTTCGGACTCCTCTGTGCTGGCGGGCAGAATCATGGCCTCAAAGCTCCGCATCATGGAAGATTCACAACTTCGGGGCCTGCTTAGCGTTGTCCAGAATGAGATGACAACACATAGATGTCTGTGCTTGCTAAAAGTTCTGTGTTCCACTTGCCTCGCTTCTGAAACAGAACTTCAATCTTGAAATCTGAAGCCAGTCCTGTTCCTCTTCAGACCACGAAACTAAACAGCGGAAAATGCAAGGGCTTCGTGGACAGTGCAGCCCCGAAGAGAAGACTACAGCTGCCAGCAGCAGATGTATCATCCTGTTTCGACAGATGAACACCGACCCCAACCCAGGAATATCCCTTCACCAAACTCCGTGAGACATCGACTTTGTATGGTCCGTCGATCTCGAAGAGGATGGAGTTTTGACCTGGCTTACGGCAGCAATTCCCACCAACATTCTGCAGGCCATGGGCACAAGACTCGTCTGCAACCGCTGAAGCCAGCAACGTTTAGAAACATGCAGGGGTGCTCGACGTCTTCCAACTGTTGGTCTCGGGATCCCTGGGCGACAGGAAAACACGAATGCCATTGAGGCTTGAGGGATGGGAGGGAACAAACGCGAAGCAATCGAGTCATTGTGCTTGCGGTTCGGGGTTGCACTCTAGTTACTAGTTCATTGGGATGGAGATTGGTCTGCTTGGGAATTGAAAGAGGCTGTGGCATCGAAGGGCCACCTGCACGTCGTCTCTACTATCGGGGTTTTGACAGCTGCTAGGCTTGACACTGCGGAGCTCCAGTAGAACAAGCTAGAGTGCCACTCCAGATGTGCTCATGCAGCCTGTCTCAGGCACGTCGTCCGTCCATCAGGCGGCATGACGCATGATAGTGGCTCAGCCATTGACCGCTACCCTCCACCTGAAGCTGCCAAGCGACCAATCCTGATACTGGTGATTCGTGTACTTCTGGTGAACCTCGCCAGATCCAGAGTTGGACAGGTGCAACTTCGCTATCCAGACTTGTCCAGGATAGGTGTTTTCAATCCTCGACATGGTCTTTCTGGAGGACTGACGGAGGCTTGCAGTAAACATGCCACAAGAAACAGCCACTCACTAGCTAAATGTACTTGATCCTGAACCTGCCGTCTGCCATTAAACAAAAATTGGAAAAGGGCCAGGGCCTGGGCCTGCAGGCAGCAAGCAAGACAGGTTGTTTCCCGACTACGAGGCAGAGCCTAGAGGGAGGCGGAAACTCAGTTGGCCCAACGCCTGAAAGTTAAAAGGACCCACGGCGCAGTCTGCCAGCTTGAAGCCCAAGACGAAGACACTTGAAGCCTCGAAACCCGGAAGATCCAAAGCCGTTCCTTCGCTGCCCTTGAGCTTCGAGCAGACACGACTCCCAAACAAAAAGCTGAAACCGCCGAAACCGCCTCAAGTTCCCAGAAGCCAGCAACTGCCAAGGTCCCTCAAGCAACAAAAACCGGCCCTGAAGGAGTCGAAGAGTCTTCAACTCTGCAGTCGGGCGGCCCGATAGTTCAGCACGCAGTTCGGGTAGGGCATTTTGAGCTGCACAGAGCATGCAGGGTTCGGGAAACCCTGAGGCCGAGAGTTCAGTTCTGATCCAAAGATTCGTTCACAGAACTTCTTCATTGTCCTGCTTCCTCTGCCCTACCTTTGAGGTTTCATGCGGGCTACATGTTTGTCAATGTGTCGAGGTCCGGGACCTCATGCGATCACAGCAAATGATTTGAAGCTCCACACCAAAACTCACAGCCCTAGAGTCTACATGAGAGCTGGCCTGGCCTCTTTGCCACCCTTCCTCGGATGGTTGATTTGGCCGATTTTTGGTCTTTGGCACGCACGATTCATAGACCACAACTGGTCTGAGAGGCGATGGCGCTGGAGTTGTAGCAGCAGTCGTGGCAGTAGCAACAGCAGTAGCAGCAGCAGTAGCAGCAGTAGCAGCAGCTGGAGCAGGAGCAGGAACAGCAGCAATAGCAGTAGAAGAAGTAGCCGCCGCCGCCGTCGTCGTCTTCGTCGTAGTAGTAGTAGTAGTAGCAGCAGCAGCAGCAGGAGTAGTAGTAAGTAGTAAGTAGTAGTAGTAGTAGTAGTAGTAGCAGCAGCAGCAGCAGCAGCAGCAGCAGCAGGAGCAGCAGCAGTAGTAGTGGTGTTAGGAGCGGCAGCAGTGTTTGTCGTCGTAGTAGTGCTAGGGGCAATGCTTGTGTTGGCTAGCAGTGGTAGCAGGTGGATACGGTGCCTGCTGTAGCGTGGCATCTTGAGGTGCTCGTCCCTTCTAGAATCAATTCACACTGGTAGCAGCGCACACTGTGACCGGAAGCGAATTGACATGGCTTCCTGCTAATTACCGACAATTCCGTATGCTAATGCTCCCAACTTATACTGCTCATGGGAATGCCCAGCTTAAATCACACAGGGCATCACCGACTTTGCGCTGAAGTGGTGCGCTTGCGAGTCATGTTTCCGACTTTGCTCAAGGTAGCCCCCAGAGCCGACCAGGTACTTTGTCTTGCGGCGACTCCATGATTAAAGAAGCTGCGGACACTCGCCGAGTCGCATCTTGATCTTGAAGGTGTCCGGGAAGCTCTTGGGCAGCAGGCACCTCGTCATCAGGTCTTGTGGACTTGTGATGTCTGGCGAACACCAATACTTGATTTAGCGTTCGCTGTTTGTACAACGATGTGAGGATGTTTGGTGTCCATTAAGTTTGGCTTTGCCATTCGCCGTTGTCATATCAATTTGCTTGCTGGTGTTAGCGAGAATGCGTGCCGAATCCTGTTTTAGATGCCTCCACCACGAACTCTGTCCAATGTGTGGCCGTCCTGAGTCCTGGAACCAAGCGATGACACCTACCGAAACATATCTTTCTGGTAAGTGTGGCCATTAGACACAAATGTCGCAGAGAGTCGTCTCTAAGATTTTTAGCTGAATCCCTGACCAGAGTGCAGAAAAGACAGACTTGACACCGGGCGCCAACGAACTGTCGCCGAGACACCAAATTCCGTCCGTGTCGAGCTCCAAGGGGAGGCCCACTTGCTCACAGAACTCTCGTGCCTGCAAACTTAAACCCAGCAGTCTGGCTCGGACGGCTTCCATCGCATTTGCCACGGCCCTTCGCAATCCGGGGCATGTCACAACATCCACCCCAAGTCCCCCCTAGACCAATGTTACTCACATGTAAGGCTGGCCAGGCGAAATCTAAATGTGCAGCACCGCCACCCGCGAGCAACAAGCACCCCTACCCTGACATCCGGCGAGAAGGCCGGGCGCGAAGCAAACGTTTGACTGTTCGGGGCGGCAGCTCTTGGACGGTACCCCAAACAGTGATCGAAAACCTCAATCCCAAAGCAAACACCAAACCACGCGCAGCGAACGTGCCAGCATGAACACACGAAGCATGGTACTGCCAGGCCTCACGGATGAGGTTCGATCCAGTATATGTGACCTGAAGGCATCTTCGACAGCTGCACAGTATCAACACAACTCCTGCCATCGATCCCGATGGTGTCAGGCCATGGATCTTTTCGGACAGTACATTCAACACATAAACACGCATCGGGGGCATAGTTCTTCGTGTCACATGAGCACACATAATCTTGCGCCGTGCAGCAGCCACGGTCGTTGCTCAGGCTGCTCCACCCTTGAGCTCGCACAGCGGATTTCTTGAGATTCACACAATTCCAGCCATCTTCATGGAATGCCAGCGGGCACCCTGACGGGGCTGCGTGTTGAGCTCGTTTCTATGTCCGTCTTGAAGAGCGCTCATTAGCATGACATTCAGATGCACCATGTATAATAACGTATTCCACACCAAAGAGGATCAGGTAACCTGGTGATTCTACATAGCATGTCTGTCTTTCGGCGTGGCGCGACGGCAGCGCCAAGTGCAGCCTTGCGCATCACGTAGCCATAGAATGAGTTCAGGATGCATTTGTGCGCCAGCCTCGGTGAACAACTGCGGCAGGCGCGGGGGTCGAGACTATTGGGTGAAGCTTCGGAATGGATCCGAGTCAAGTGAAGCAGGCTAAGGATTTATTCGCCCCCGCTATGCGAAGAACGCGATCATGGTTAGACCCGTCTCTTGTGAAGTAGCACAGATGCTGCGAGCTGAAGAAGTTAAGGCCGTAATTCCTGTATCACCTATGTGGGTCGTTGAAGCACTGTCTAGAGCAGGCAAACCCGAAACATGGTGGACTTGGCTGAAAGGTACACAAGACAACTTCAAGACAACCGTAAGTCAGGGATTTACCAAAACGAAACAGAGAGGGAGAGAGAGACACGCGCACACACACCCACAGAGACACACAGGGACACGCACCAGGACACGCACAGAGACAGACAGACAGACACACACACACACAAACACAGACACAGACACAGACACAGACACAGACGCAGACACAGACACAGACACACACACCGTCACACACACACACACGTCGAGACACACTCAGAGGAACACAGAGAGACACACCCCCACATCCCCACACCCCGAAACCCTGTCTCTGGACACAGACACTCTCCTCTCTCACACACACGGACAGAGCGTCGAGAGACGGAGCGTCAACAGACAGACAGGCAGGCAGGCAGGCCGACGGACGGACGTACGGACCGCCAGACAGACAGACGGACACTACTTACCTATCTACCTACCTACCTACCTGCCTACCTACCTACCTACCTACCTACCCATCTATTAGTGCAGGGGTATGTAGAAACAGACATAGACGGACAAACGGACCGACAGGACAGACAGGAAAGGACAAAGGACAGGGGACAC